TTTTAAGGAGCATGGGAGACAAGGTACGCTGGCCAAAAGAAATAAGATCAAACCCGAACAGGAGAAATCCTGATTTTTGGTGCGAGTTTCACAACGATCACGGTCACAAAACGGCGAATTGTAGATTGCTGCAAGGTGAAGTAGAACATTTATTGAAACAAGGATATTTGACTGAATTATTTAGTGAAAACGGAAAGCAGGCATATATGAAAAATAGGAAGGAGCCCCCAAAACCCCCTTCACCAAAAAGGACGATTAGTTTCATAAGTGGAGGAAAAGAGATCAATGGCGTAACATATATAACAACGAGGAAGGTGTGAAAAATAACAGTTACACACGGGAAGCGAGTTCGACAGGTTTTGGAAGAAGATAGTATCACATTTGATGATGCAGATGCAGATGGCGTGCAAATCCCACATAATGATGCACTGGTAATATCTTTACTTGTACATGACACTAATGTGAAACGAGTTTTGATTGATCCAGGTAGTTCCGTGAATATCATTATGTTAAGAGTGGTAAATGAGATGCAAGATGATGATAAGTTGATACCCAAGGCTCATACCTTGTCCGGTTTTGACAACTCGAGCATCGTGACAAAAGGCGAGATAATACTCACCACATTCGCAGAAGGAGTAGTCAAAGACACCAAATTTCAAGTAGTAGAAATGGATATGGCTTACAATATGATTCTCGGTAGACCATGGATTCATGAGATGGATGTTGTTCCATCCACTTTTCACAATGGGGAATACGGCAAATACGTGGTGACCAACAAGCATCTCAAAGCATTAATTCCGTAGCAGATGCAAGCTTAAGAAGCAAAGACAAATATCAATCACGGAACCAAGTTGAGGATGCTGCAACACAATCCTCAACTAAGCATGAGCGAACGGATGTAGACTCGAGGCCTGACACCATCCAAGAACCAGAAGAAAATGAAAACATCAAAACAACTATCGAGGAATTAGAAGCTGTAGTACTATTTGCACATTTGCCTGACAGAAAAGTCGACATCGGGACCAACCTCAGCCAAGAAATGAAATGTAAGTTGACTGAATTTTTAAAAGCTAACATAGACTGTTTTTCTTGGTCCCATTCAGATATGACAGGCATACCCCCGGAGGTAATGACTCACAAATTAAATGAAGATCTATCGTACCCATCTGTCAAACAAAAGAAAAGGAAGCAAGGCTCCTTCAAGAATTAGGTGATTCAAGATGAGGTGCAGAAACTTTTAAAAATTGGGTCTATCCGCGAGGTAACGTATCCATATTGGTTGGCTAATACTCTAGTGGTACCAAAAAAGAATGGTAAGTGGTGGTTTGCGTAGATTATACTGACCTAAATAAAGCTTGCCCTAAAGATTCTTTTCCATTACCGCATATAGATCAACTATTTGATGCTACTGCAGACGATGAATTATTGAGCTTTTTAGATGCCTATTCGGGGTATAATCAAATAAAAATGGACCCTATAGATGAAGAAAAGACTTCATTTATAACAGACAGGGGGACTTACTGTTACAAAGTGATTCCTTTCGGTCTCAAGAATGCTGGGGCCACATATCAAAGGCTGCTGACCAAAATGTTTCAGGAATATCTAGGGAAAACCATGGAGGTTTATATAGATGATATGCTGGTCAAGTCACAACAAGCAGGGGATCATATTCAACACTTGTCTGATACATTTCAGATTCTTCATAAATTTAATATGAAATTAAACCCTGAGAAATGCACGTTTGGTGTTTCATCAAGTAAGTTCTTGGGATTTCTTGTTTCTAACCGTGGCATTGAAGTAAATCCCGCGCAGATTAAAGCTATTGAAGAAATTCCGGATATACTGACGAATAAAAAAGAAATACAAAGACTGACAGGAAGAATAGTTGCTTTGGGAAGACTTATTTCCAAATCATCAGAAAAATGTTTCAGGTTCTTTTCAGCCCTAAAAAGGCAAGATCAATTTGAATGGACTGAAGAATGTCGACAGGCGCTCAAAAATTTGAAAGTATACTTGTCAAATACACCATTGCTCGCAAAGCCAAAAAATGGAGAAAAATTACTCATCTACCTTGCTATTTCAGAAGTAGCGGTAAGTGCAGTGTTAGTTCGAGAGGACCAAGGTAAACGATCTCCGATTTATTATGTCAGTAAGTCATTATTAGATGCTGAGAATAGGGCTGCTTATCGGGCGGAATGGGCAGTTATTTACTCTTAACGGTTTGGCTTATCGGTTATCGGCTTTTAAATGTATTAATCCGCTAGCCACCCGATAAGATATCGGGCGGATTGGTATCGATTTAGCTCTTATCGGGCAGTTTATCGGCCTAATTCAATCTTTATTTTAAATAGAATAGAAATTTTGAAACTGAAACTTTTATACATGTATTTAAGAAGCAGAATATTTCACACTTCTATTTTAGGATTGGAAAAGGCTCACTACGAACTTGGGGACTAATTTGGCACTCAATGAATATGGTGATTGAAGGGTTCATGTCATGTTTTCAGATGCAAAATTCCCTCTAATTTTGGGAATGACCACAGGAAGCACCTAACAGAGTTGATACAAATAAAGATTAATTGAACTGCGCTTGAAGATACAAACTGAATAGCTTAAAGTTATACAGTGTCTTTAGGTTCTCTTTTGCAGATATTATCCAAAAAAGAAAATTATCATAATATTCTATTATTCACTTGATGTAAATGTTATTTGGGTATGGTCATCTGTTTTCATTTTTATATGGAGCAGTCTATTGATACGTGAAACTCAAAAGGAAGCTGAACACTTCATATGTTAACCCGATACCAATAAGCCATTAAGCTTCTGTTTCGGTTCGATTTTCGGTTTCGGTTCGATTTTGAACACCCCTAGCTAAGACTCGATATCCTCATCTAGAAAAACTTGCACTTGCGTTAAATATGGCATCTAGGAAGTTAATGCCTTATTTTCAATGCCATCCTATCTCTGTAGTAACTGCCTACCCCTTACGCAACATACTGCATAAACAAGAGTTATCAGGTAGACTAGCCAAATGGGCTATAGAGCTAAGTGAATATGACATAGCATATCAACCAAGAACTGCAATAAAGTCAAAAGTTTTAGTAGATTTTGTGGCAGATTTTAGTCAGGGAATGCAACTGGAGGCAGAAAAAGAACTACAGGTATTTAACGGGTCTAATCCAGTTACTTGGACCTTATTGTCTGATGGTTCAACAAATATAAAAGGAGCAGGTCTAGACATTATTTTGGTACCACCTACGGGAGAAACTATACGACAAGCCATAAAATATCATCCTATTACAAATAATGAGGCAGAATACGAAGTTGTGATTGCAGGTTTGGAAATGGCACGAGAGCTCGGAATAGAGCAAGTCGTAATCAAAAGCGACTCACAACTCATGGTTAACCATATGCAGGGGTATTTATACTCAGAGGCGACCGTCAAAAAAGAAAAAAATGGAAAAAGTAGTGATGTGAAAGTCATAATTGAAACTGTCACTTCGTGACTGATGCAATCGCAAAAAGCCTAAAAGGCGCTGAATAATTGCAGAACCAATCTGAGAATGCCACGTGGCGCGAGCATTAAATGGAAGTGACAAGCAACGTATGCATTCAAAGACGGATGCGATGGTACGAGTAAAGTGGCGGCAAAAAATTCCCGCCATAAATGAGTATCCACTTACCAATATTTAATCGATAAATAAATGGTAAGTGGGGGGACTATATGTATTGGTAAAAAATAGACTTCACACGTGTAATATTTCTGATGACAAGGCGATCCATGTGGAGCAATAGAAACATGACAGCTGGTCACAAATTTACAAAGAGGTACGAAACAAAGAGGAACGGAACAGCATATCCACGAGACAATTAGATGCGGGAACCTCAGTCTAATTGAGGAGTTGAAGAGACATGGTCAGAATGAACCAAGGCAGAATAAAGGGCAGATTCAAAGATCTTCAATCAATGAGCCAAACGTTACATAATCTTCACGCAACAATTACGATTACCTATTGTAACATTACATTAGTGATATTATTAGTCATTAATGCTCAATTATTAATGAGAGTAGGCGTTATATTAAGAAATTCCCTATAAAAGGGAAGAAAATATCACTTGCAGGGAGACATTCGAATTACTACTGAAATTCATTTACTTTTACGCATTCTTATTGCTTTCTAATTGCAAGTCTAATTATTTCCATTTAATTTTCTTGATTATGAGTAACCAAAGTTATTCTAAAATATTAGCTTTGAACGAAATTCCTATTTTCTGCTTAAAAACTTTTTACATTAGTATCTCCAAAAACCATGCAGCAGCATAAGCTAGTTTCTCTGTTTTCTTTTCAGCTCTCCTGTTTCTTTTCCTTTGTGTTAATAATCTTAACATTAACCACTGCCCAAATTATCACCATTTCTATTCCTCCCACCTCCACTCCACCACCCACCAACACCACCCCAGCACCCACTAACACCACCACTCCCACCAACACAATCACCAAAGCTGCTAATATCACGAAACCAGGATGTCCGAAACAGTGTGGAAATCTTACAGTTCCATACCCATTTGGGATTGGCTTACGATCTGGTTGTGCCATTGATCCAAATTTTGAAATCAATTGTGTCACTAATGCAACTGGTTCTCAAACACCCTTCATACGGAATATACAAGTTTACGATATTTCTGATGCTGAAATGCGCATATCTAGTACGTTAAATCGAAGGTGTTACTCATCTACAGGAGTATTGCTCCGAGATGATCCTGCTTGGATGAATTTAGGAAGCTCAAATCCTTACAGTTTCTCTTCCCTCAACAGCTACCTCAATTTCTGCTTGAATCATAAAAACATTTTTAACAATGTTTATATTTGAGTAATAAATTATAGTGGCAAATGGACTAGTTAGGTAAAATCGAAACGAATTAGAATATGCCCAATCAATAAACATCTCATGATCCAGCTCACGCAAAGTTTGCTTGAGTGAAGCTGCGTCAAATAACGGTTGATAATCAATCCTCCAAACATGACCAAACCTCTCCTTTTCTGTTTTGCTTTTTGAAAAAAACAAAATAGAAGTGAAAACAAATGTATTTTTCTTAAATTATAGCTTATGTATGTTTGGGTTTGTATTACACTTGACACACTGGGTTACACTATTTTTGAATCGCTTTGACCCAATATTTTGATGGGTCATTTTTTGTTTAATCCGTTGGATCAAATCAACAAACTGATGATAACTCATAACTCAACCCGTTTAAAACTTAGACAGATTGGGGGATTATTAAAAAGTAAGTTGATTTCGCCATCTCTTTACACCTATATAAAGTTATGAATTCACCTCTACAGATTCACTGTCGTTGGTTGTGATGAAGCTGCTATAATAGCTGGACGTGACTTCGTTAATGGCTGTCCCACTGTCTGTACTACCTCCGGTGGTGTAATTGAGGGAAGATGTATGGGTGCTGGTTGCTGCCAAATAACAATAACAAAAGGCTTGAAATATTTCAACACATCAATACAAAGCTCGAAATTAAATCACACTGCTGTTTGGTCGTTTAATAAATGTGGCTATGCATTCCTTGGTGAGGCAAGTAGATTCGAATTTAAGGGTTTGCAGGATCTCGGTGATCTTAATTATGTAACAAGATTATGGATAATGTTCCAATTGTGGTAGATTGGGCCATCGGAAATCTTAGTTGTGTTGAAGCACAGAAACGCAACGATTATGCTTGCCTGGAAAATAGTCAGTGCGTTGATTCTGATACTGGCCTTGGTGGTTATAGGAACAACTGTAAGTCGGGATACGAAGGCAATCCATACATTGGCCCAGGCTGCCAAGGTAACCTTATTTCTACTATCACTATTTCATTGCTACCTGCTAACTTTCACTCATTATTTGAACTTCTTTTTGTTTATGGGCAATTTGTCTTTCTTTTTTAACTACCACTACCCCTAGAAAATCAATACTCCCTTCGGACTTTTTTGTAGTCCATAATATTTGATTTTTTCAAATATCAAGAAGAAATTAATATTAATATAGTCATTTTTATTGTTAATTAATACTAAAAGATGAATTCTTTAATATATGTGAATAGAGCCAAAAATTCAATTAAAGTGGACCGGAGGGAGTAGTAGTTCTCCATTTGTTCTTTCGAGGCAATTCTTATCGATGATATTATCTAACTATTTCTGCTTTCACATTTTTTTCTATGATGATATTACCTAGCTATTTCATCGATACCTGCTAACTTTCACACACTATTTGAACTTCTTTTTTTTTTTATGGGCAATTTGTCTTTTTTTATTATTATTTATTTATACCACTATCCATAGAAAATCAATAGTAGTTCCCTATTTGTTCTTTCGAGGCAATTTTCAAACATTGACCTAACGTTGGAGATAGGGTGGAGTAGTTTGATCACTACTGGTATTACTTTTTTATCTCACTTGGTACTTTAAAAAGATAGATTCCTAATTTTCTGACTTAGATAATCACAAAATCAAAATAATTTTTAGGACAATACTATTACTTTACTCCAAGAAAAATTTTAGTTGACTTTTGAGTTGAACCAGTCAAGCATTAGTGTTTAAAGATTCAAAGCCATATAAATATTGTTTAGCTTTTAAAGTATTTAAGCTATATGATTTTATACTTTTTAGAGCTATATGATAAAAGAATATGGTGTAACATCAATTCGTCTGTCATCTTACAATAGGGTATAATCACAACGTCAAGTAAATACGCCAAAAAGAAGGATTAAAAACAAACAGGCATCAAGAATTAATTTCTCTTGGTCCACAAGACACGTAATGGATAACTGTGTTCACCGAAATTTTGGCATATGGAAAGATATTTCCTACCAGTTTTTGCCTCTTTAGGAATTGAATATGGTCTTCTGTGATTCTCATCACTTCATTGACTACTAATTAGACTCCATCTTTTGGTGCTTAAGCATCACAAATTAATACTTTTTTTTTTGTGCGCCTGATATTGATGAATGTGCAGATCCAAATGCCAATTCATGTGAACAAATTTGCATAAACACGCCGGGAAGTTACAATTGTTCTTGTCCAGAAGGTTACACCGGTGATGGCAGAAAGAATGGTCGTGGTTGTAATGCACCGAGCTCGAACTCTGAGTTCCAATGGATCAAGGTTTCTGTAGGTAATATTATACTTGTGTCTACTCGCATAGTAGTATATAATATGTAGTTTGAATAGTGATAGTATGTTAGTTGCCAATTTTGTAGAAATCAAGTGATCTTATTGTATAACTATTTTTTACATTATTAAGGCATACAACTTAATCAAACAAAAATATGAGTAACGTAGTTCTGACCTAATCCCTCTATGTCCAAGAATGTTGAGTAGAATCAACAAGGATTGCATAATTTCTTTTACAAGAAAACTTGAATGGTAATTAAACTATTCTCAAAAGGTCAAATGCTTATCTTGTGAATTCACTAGACATTTGCATTAGACTTTCAAGTGAGCTCATATATATATATATATATATATGAGCCATGGAACAGTATAGTGCTCTTTCGATTATTACATTAATTACAGGCCCAGATAACTCTCCTTTGAAAAAGTCACTGCTTACTTAAACATATAATTACTAGTTTCTTATCAAGTAAAAAGAAAAACTAGTTTCTTGAAGTGAAAATAATTCATATCTATAGCTAATATCATGCTCTCTCTAATTCAAATAAAAAGGGGTTTAAATTTTGTTGTTATGAACACAGGTATGGGAGTTGGTTTCATGTCCTTAGTGGTTGGGACAACTTGGCTCTATTTCAGCATCAAGAAAAGAAAACTCATTAAACTTCGAGAAAAATTCTTTCAACAAAATGGCGGTTTACTCTTGAAACGAGGAATATCTTCTGACGAGGGTGGTGTGGTATTGGCCCAAGTAAATGTGAAGTTTTGAAGACTGACAAAAGAACTCAGACATGGACAAGGTCCATCTTGTGAAGCACAGCTTTGATCAACCCAAACATGTGAGATGCACGTGAAGGAGATAAACCTAATTTATCAGAAGTGATATCTCCTGATCATGATCGAAGAGATTGCATATCGGATAAGGAGAAAGACTCCTTACACAAAGAGAATACGGTTTAGGAAAAGGATAAGAGTTAGAGTATGAGATCAACTAGAACTCTCTTCCACCATGGAAGAGTAGCATCTGTATCCTAGTCAATCTCTAATTTCTAACTCCTTAAATATTAGTGTTGTTCTCTTTTACAGTAATGCACATAAGTAGAAGTTAGACGTGAATTGAGAGCAAAATAACAAGGCAATTTTGTAAGCAATTTATTTGTGATTCAAGCGTGCAATCCTGAAGCTAATTGAACCAGATAGAAGAACCAGTTCCAAGTGTCTATCTTTTAGTCTAGTTCAATTGTAGTAGGTGATTTTACATTGTACCTTTCAGCTTTTATAGAAGCAATTGTATTAGGTACTTAGAGTTTTCAAGTTAGAATGAATTTGAAGTTGTCGCAACAGTTGAGGTTGTGTGTCACAACGGGATTAGAGTTAATCCTAGGTTTACAAAAGAGTTTTTGTAAATCCAGTTTTTGGCTCAGTGATTTTAGTGGAGAGTGTGGGAAAATCCTACTGAAAGTAGGTCGTAGTTTTTTTCACCTTTTGAGCTAGGTATTTTCCACGTAAAATCTTTGTGTTCTTTATTTTCTTTACTTATTATTCCGCAACAGTAGTAGTTGGAACACATAGAAGAACCAGGTCCTTCTATAATCAAGTTAAGCGAAAATTGGGTACCACACAAATACCCCCTCCCCTCTTGTGTGGTATTGAAGTATAAAACATCATTTGGTATTAGAGCATGTTATCCTTGAAGAGGCTAACACCTTAGGAATAGATCAAGATGAGTGCACCACCTGGAAATGGGAAGGGCAATCCACTGCTAGGCCTCCACTCTTTAATGGCCAGTGCTATTCCTGGTGGAAGAACAGGATGAGAGACCACATCATAGGAGAAGACTATGAACTTTGGGACATAGTTACTGATGGTCTCCTGGCTACCACAAAGAAGAAGGCTGAAGGAGTGGACGTGCCAAAGACAAGAGCTGACTGTACTGCTGAAGATTTTAAGAAATGGGAAAAGAATGTCAAGGCCAAGAAATGGATTGTGTGTGGACTAGGTCCAGACGAGTATAGCAGGATGCAAAGCTGTACCACTGCTAAGGAGATCTGTGACACTCTACAAGTTGCCCATGAAGGAACTCCTCAACTAAAGAGATCAAGTGGAACATTGTTATATTCTCAATATGAGAATTTCACCATGAAGGAAGGAAAAAACCATCCAAGCGATGTGCACAAGGTTCACAACACTAACAAATGAACTTAAGTCTCTTGGTAGAATTATCCTTGAAGAAGACAAGGTTGAGAAAATCTTGACAAGGGTCTTGCCAGTAACTTGGGAAAGCAAAATCATGGCTATTCAGGAATCAAAGAACATTGCTACTCTCAAGTTGGATGAGCTGATTGGAAATCTCGCTGCCTACGAACTAAGAAGGCAAACCATGAAGATGGATCCACCCAAGAAGGAAAGGAGCCTAGCTCTCAGAATAGCTAAAGGTGCAGACCTAGAAGATGACGAAATGGCTATGATCACAAGGGATTTCAAGAAGTACCTAATGAGAGGTAAATGTTCTTCAAGAGGTGCAACCTTCAATAAACCAAGGGCACCTGAGAAACAGACCAATGATGGTTGCTACAAATGTGGTAAAACAGACCACATGATCAAGAATTATCCTCAGTGGGAAATCGAATGGAAGAAGGAAAGAGCTGAACGAAGGAACAGGAAGAAAGAACAGGTTCAACCCAAAAGGAACAAAGGATCAACAAAGGCTATGGTTGTTGCTTGGGGAGAAACCTCAGATGAGGATTCAGAAGATGAAACTGGAGATGAATAAGCACTTATGGCTTTTGGAGAATCAGACGATGAACAAGAGGTAAGTGTGATTCATCTCAAAGACAAGATTAAATTTTTGTCTAAAGAAAGGTTATCTGAATTATTGCTAGACTTCATTGATGAGCCTGTGGTCACAAACAATGAGAAGGAACAATTGTCTAGGGAGTGTGTGATCCTAAAAGCCAAGTGCAAAAATTTGGAATTTAGGGCTAGTAAAAGTGATTGTAAAAATACTGAGTTGAAGAACCAGGTTCTTGAACTTGACACATGTGTCTTAGAACTTAGGTAAGAAAATTTAAGGCAGAATAGCCTAAATGGCACTTATACTTGTGCCACATTGTCATCTCGGTCCCCAAACTTAATGAAGTTTCATATAGACACCTCTACTCGTTCAAAAGTAATATTTTAAACCCTTCTAGACACCTCTACTCGTTCAAAAGTAATATTTTAAACTTAAAAACGATTGAGGAACACACACGGTCAGAAGGGTTTAAAATATTACTTTTTAACGAGTAGAGGTATCTAGATGAAACTTCATTAAGTTTGGGGACTGGCGAAGTGGCACAAGTATAAGTGCCATTTAGGCTATTCTGCCGAAAATTTAAAACTCAAATTAGGAACAGGTAAGAAGAAGGATGATCACACACATATCACCTTAGAAGAAAATCTAGGAAAAATGAAGGATGAGTTGTACAAGAAAGATGAGCAGATAAGAGGACTAAAAGAAGACCTAGGCAAGGTGAAGCATGAACTAGATAGAACTTGCAAATGGAATAAGTCCTCTGATGCACTATCCTGGCTACAAGAGCATCACAGTAGCAACAAGAGAGGACTTGGCTATGGGAGCCCAACACCTAAGTGGGATCCCAAAAGCAAGTACATCACACTTCCTGAAAACAAAATCTGCTCACAATGTGGCAAGACTGGTCATTACAAAAGTGGGAAAAGGCCAGTCAAAAGAACAAAACCTTTGTTCAAGAGAAAAATAGGTTGCCTGGATGGGCCAAAAGGAATTTAATTCACCCCTTTGCCTATAGAAAGGAACCCAAACTAGTTTGGGTTCCTAAGATAGTTTGGGTTCCTAAGACTAACCCCTAATTTCGTTTTGCAGGTCCAAGTGAAGGGAAGCAGCCAAATATGGTACGTGGATAGTGGCTGCTCAAAGAATATGACTGGAAGTAAGAACCAGTTCCTTTCACTTGATGACCTAAAAGGAGGTAATGTCTCCTTCGGAAATAGAAAGAAAGGTGAGATTATTGGGGTTGGAAAGGTAGGTAGACAGACTCACATTCCATTGAGAATGTCTATTTGATAGATGGCTTGAAATATTGCCTAATCAGTGTATCACAACTGTGTGACAGAGGAAACTTGGTAGCATTCACCTCTACTAAATGTTTTGTGATTAATCTTGCCACTGACAAGATTGTTTTGCAGGGAAAAAGAGTTAACAATATTTACATTGTAGATTTGTCCACTCTTTCAGAAAATGAACTCACTTGCTTGAGTGTGTTGGACAATGATCCCAACCTGTGTCACGAAAGACATGATAGGATTACCTAACATCAAGTTCACGGAAGACAAAGTTTGTGAGGCTTGTGCAATGGGTAAGCAGGTAAAATCCTCTTTTAATAGCAAGAAAATGGTAAACACGACCAGGACGATGGAACTGGTTCATATAGATATCTATGGTCCAATGATAACATTGAGCAGAGGTGGTAAGAGATATGTGATGGTACTTGTTGATGATTACTCTAGGTTTACTTGGGTATTGTTCTTAACATCTAAGGATGAAACATTTGACATGTTTACTGCCTTTGTTAGAAAAACTCGGAAACAACTAGGTAATCAACTTGCATCAATTAGGTCTGATCATGGAACTGAATTTGAAAATGCTAAGTTTGCCGAATTTTGTGATGAGCATGGTATAGATCATAATTTCTCTGCACCTAGGACCCCTCAACAAAATGGAGTAGTTGAAATAAAGAGTAGGACTCTTGAAGATATGGCTAGGACTACGCTTCTTTTTAGTAAACTGCCCCATAGCTTCTGGCAGAGGCTGTAAAAACTGTATGTTACTTCATTAATAGGTGCATGACTAGACCTCTTGTAGAGAAGACTCCCTATGAGTTACTTAAAGGGAGAAAACCAAATATATCCCATCTTAGGGCATTTGGATGCAAGTGCTTTGTGCACAATAATGGAAAGGACTCCCTAGGTAAGTTTGATACCATAAGTGATGAGGGAGTATTCTTGGGATATTCTTCACATAGCAAATCTTATAAAGTGTACAACAAAAGAATTTTGTGTGTAGAAGAAAGTGTACATGTAGTTTTTGATGAAACTAACATTCTTTCTGAGAGACAGGAACATAAAGATGAAGCTATTGGGGTGGTAAAAGGGTTAAATGAAGTCACAGCCCAAGCTGAAGCCGCACCAGAAGAAGGAACATGTGATGGAACAGGTTCTTCCATCCGGGGCAACCTGACAAGGGGAACTGAACAAAGAAGAAATGAATCTAACTCCCAAATGGAACCTGTCCATTAGCCTATTTCTCAGCAACAAAACATGGGAGAAACTTCAAACAGAAATCAGTTGGTTGTGAAACCTTACAAGTATCAAAGTTCTCATCCCATTGAGAACATCCTTACTGATCCAACTTCTGGAGTTAAAACCAGATCTCAATTAAAGAATCTGTGTGCTTTTGATGCATTATTATCTCTTATTGAACCTAAAAATGTTGCTGAAGCTTTGCAGGATGCAGATTGGGTGAATGCAATGCAAGATGAACTCAATCAGTTTGAAAGAAGCCAAGTGTGGAATCTGGTCACAAGACCCAAGGACACATCAGTGATTGGCACTAAATGGGTCTTCAGAAACAAACTTGATGAAGATGCAACAGTTACAAGGAACAAGGCAAGGCTGGTGGTCCAAGGCTATAGCCAAGAGGAGGGCATAGATTATGATGAGATCTTTGCTCCAGTAGCAAGACTAGAGGCAATAAGACTCCTCATAGCCTTTGCAGTACACATGGAATTTACCCTTCACCAAATGGATGTGAA